GTCAGTGGATCTGTTCTTGGACTTGATGATTTTCTTGTGAGAGAAAGCTTAATCAAGTTCAAAGCAGCTCTTCTGATGTTAGGATACGTTTTCTCTGACATCAGACTGCAGAACTCTCCATCCATGCCACCCGTTGCTCTGGATTTGATCCCAATGTCATTTTGCAGAGTCAAAACCTCATTTTCAGCAGCAGTCCAACTGAAATACAAACACGAATTTGGACACATCCATCCATCCTGGTGGACAACTGCATGTCTTTATAGCAGCCACAATCTCACATTTATTTTTAAAATCATGGAAAAGCACATCTGCAGCGTCAAATGCTTCTTTCATAACTTCGCCATCGCTAAAAGACGTTTTTTTGTGTTGAGGCAGGATGGGGTTGCATTAGCAGCCTTACCTCTGCTTTGATGATGGAGCGAATGAAAATCAATGCTGTGCTGCAAAGCTTGTTTTTCAGCTCCTCTGAGCTCGGTTTAGGAGGGGAAATCCACCTCTTAGCGTCTGTGCAGTGTTTTGAAAGAAATGCTTAATACGTTTTTTTTTTTTTTTGCTTGTTAGCTGTCTTTCCTTCATTTTTTTCCGCCTCAAGATCATGTTCGGAGTGCTGTTTCACAGCACCCAAAACTCACGAGACTGGTCACGTCTACAAGACGGGGAGGACGAAGGGGAGTGCGTTCAAGACTACAATGTTAAACAAACGTTGCGTTCTACAAGCTCTGTGATTGACTGCTCTGTGATAGACATCTAACCAGCTAAAGATCGAACGGTCGATTGCAATCGACTGGTTGGCCTGGCCTGCTCTGTACACCATATGTCAGAACCAGATCTGGTCTGGGCAGGTGTGGACCAGTCTTCGTCTTCAACCTGATCAGACGTGTTTCTCTGTCTCCTCACATCAGCAGCAGGATTATTTCATCATTCCTCTGAGGATCAGGGCTTCCTGTGAAAACTTGTTGGTGATGTTTGCTTTCAGTGGAGATGGATAAAATTTGATCTGAGTGGGCGTGAACCTGAGCTGCTGGTTCCATTCCCTCCAGGAAGTAAAAGAAGCTGAACTGATCCTACCTGAGGAGGACCTACCTTAGGAGGACTGAGGGCCTAACCAGGACCTGTCTGAGGGTCAGGAGACAGACCACCATTCTGACATCTTTTACACCTAATTCCCTTAAAGACAGGTGACATGTCCACATGTGTCCTACCTCCCATCAGGACAGGTGACATGTCCACATGTGTCCTACCTCTCATCAGGACAGGTGACATGTCCACATGTGTCCTACCTCTCATCAGGACAGGTGACATGTCCACATGTGTCCTACCTC